CTCTAATACACAAACTGGGTTTATATTTAAAATAAATCGGTGGTGAATCACTTAATGAAGCAAAAATCTACTTGTAACATCTTAATCATCACTTTAGCTGCTTTCCTCTGAATCATCTCTATTCTGTGGAGAGCAGGAGTTACCTAGGAAACGCAATGCAGTGTGGGCCTGGAATTGCTGGGCACAGACACAGAAGGGAGAAGTTTTGGCTTGCACATTTCTTACTTTTGAGATATTATCATTATTTTTTTTTTTACTTTATAGCAATAAACTTTTATCTCCTGGTCTCTGATGACATCTATGCCTACCCTTAATCAGGCTTTCTCTAGTTTTTATTTGTGCAGGTTACGGTACTTAAGCATAAATACTTGGTTACATCTAATTTTACTAAACCTCATCTAAGTTCACTCTTTGAATTCTTTTGCATTTTCTGAAGCATTTATAAACCCATCCAGTTGGAACCATAAGGAACCTGAAGACGCACCTTTACTGCTGTTCTCCAAATGATAAAAAGTGATATCTGAAACCCATATGGACACTGAATCATACCAGAGATGCTGCATGCCCACAGGAACCTTAATGCAAACTAGAAAAACTAGGAGTTCCTTCCTCCGGGCAGGTAAGACTAGGAGCAGGTGCATATGGGACGGTGAACAAGAGCTGGCCCATCTGCTCCCACAACCTGGGCCTCCTCCTGTATCATGTCACAAAGAGTCTTAATTTTCTTGGATTACGCCTGTAGCCCTTGAACCAGGGTCTAGGTTGAGCCTCTCGCTGGGCATATTATGTACGATGATAAAGGCCAAAGATTCAGGAAAACTGAGTAATAGCTTAGGGAAAATTTAAACTTAGCAAAAAACATAAATGTTAGGTAAACTTGAACTTGTGGAGATAGCATATGGGGCTTAAAAGTTTTGGGTTTGGACAGAAGTGGATTTTAATTCTAATTTCACTGAACTCCATTTTTTGAAAATTCTGTAAAATAATGAAAATACCATTATTTCATAGATTCTAAGACTACATCTACCTTAAGATCTATTACAGAGATTTTTTTAATGTGAAAAAATAACCAAATGGGATGACTAAGCGTATTCTCATATCACAGGTATAAAGAGTGTAAAAATTATGTGTGTTAGAATCTATGACGTATGATAATACATTTTCAGGTTTGGAATATTTCCATAGACTTTACTGGTTGAGCATCCCACATCTGAAGATTCAAAATCCACCATGTGGCTCTCAAACAATTTCAGATTTCAGAGCATTTTTGATTTTGAATTTTTGGATTTGGAATGTGCAACTAGTACCCACCTTAAAGGTCATGTCTTCCCTGTGAGGATTAAATGAGATAATGTAGGTCAAGTTCTCAGCCTGCCATGGAGCAAGGGCTCCATAAATGGTGGAGGCTGCTATTGTCCTTGCTGTCCTTGTTATTTGAGGCTGGCAACAATAGAAACAAAAGGGTATACTTAGCTCAGGTCATCATAATCTAGCAAAATGAAATGGAGATTATCTTTTTTTCTAGGAAAAGATACCAGAAGCAGTAAACCTCAAGCAAAAACTGAATGCAGAACATACACAGAGCTGAAAAAGAGGAAAATAGTCCTTTTTATCCTGCTGATAAATCTTAGAAATGATTTCCTGAATCCCAAATGTATGTTGGAAACATTTAAAAGAGTATTTCAAATCGTGGGTTGGAGTCCTTCTTTGAATTAGGAAGTAAAGAAAATTGCCGGAACATTTTGCGAGTGTTTTCAAGTGTTTGTTTTTTATCTCACCTTTCACTAACAGCTCTTCTAGTACACTGCCTATGATTTTTGAATGGATTACCAAGCAGCTCACTAGTGAAAGCCTCCTGGGCGGCCTTCTGCGGTGGTCGTTTTCATTTAGAAAGGCCTGGGTGGAGGGGAGGAAGAGGTGCCAGGGGTGTCAGTCAAACTCTCTCACCCGCCTCCAAAGCACCTGGCCCTGGCCTGCTTTAGGAGTGGGCCTCACACCAACGAACAGCCTGTTCATTGTTCTTTGATGCCGAAGACAATGCAGCCAGTGGTGGGACACTGGAAAGGCGAGTGCCAGGATCCTGGTCAGTCAGAAAATGCCAGCCTGATGCCACTGCCTGTACCGCAGGTGGCTTCTTGGCCCATGGTTGGCCTCACTGCATTTTGGAACACACAGCGATGGAGGTAGAGTGTGTATGAACGCGATTACAGCATAGATGGTGTGATGAAGAGGGGCCGGATGCCCTTCTAAATGGGACAGGTAAAGACAAGGACTATGGCTCTCCTATACAAACAGAGACCCTATTATTTTTCAGGGAGAATCTAAATTGGTTATTTCTTCCATTTCTATTTCAACTTATTTCCATCTCAGGATTGATGGCAACAGTTTACCTACCTAGTTGGGCTGGCTTCTAAAAAGGAAAGGCGTAATATGGACTGATCTTGTAAAAGTGGGATATTATGTGCTCACTACTGAATAGGAAGCCTTTAGGGGTTTTTGAGAATGAAACTCAAGAGGCAATTCTAGGTCACAATATCAGAAAAAGCAAGTTGCTGTGGAGACAGTGGCCTCTGAATCTCTAAACACGTGGGTTGGCCAATCCATAGAGCACAGCACAGATTTGGTTCCCTCTCCGTGTGCCAATTACAAATGCACTGCCTGGCATTCCAAGCCCGCCTCAGGGCCCAGAGGCAGGATGTGGCCCAGTTGGGAGTGGTGCTGAGTCACCATCCCATGTCATGGTACATCTGTGCTGTGATCCTGCCTCCTGGATTCACTAAGGCACTCCTTGGGGATGGCAGACTCCACTTGACTTATTTTTTCCCTAGGAAAACTGCAATCACATCATAAATTTACTAAAAAACATTTTCCTTCAAGTTTGTCTTGGAAATTTTAAATATGTGTACCCATTTCACCCATACTCCCTTAATCTTGACCTGATGTCTCAGATACTATGATGGTGGCTACTCCTTGTGGTCAAGAACTGCAACCCACCAGGGTCTTCTTGGATCAAGAACCCAATTTGAAAGGTGGTGGCCAGGAGGTGGGCCTTAGTTTGCAATTTGCATAAGATGAAGAGGGAGTGCCATTGGTTTTACTAACACCACTGGACCAGCCAATTCTCTGTTAGCAATGGAAGCTTGAGTCTCAAAACTGGTGTGAGCTCTACTCGTTATTTTCTGAGCACAACTTGCATAGATGTAGGTCACCCTCTGACCTGCCTAACCTTGAGAATATGGCAAACTAGATCCATCAACTGGATCCATCCATCTCCTTTCCAGGCAGCCCATCTGTCACATAATGTTGACAGATGGGCCTGGATCCACTGAAATCTGCTTCCCTTTTCCTCTCTGCTTCCTCTCCTTTCCAGGCAGCCCATGCCAGCTAGAACGCCCCTATCCTGCTTTCCAGGACTGGGCTGCCCCTCCCCAGGGCCTCTGCTTTCCTGCCTGAAGCAGAGGGCACAATAGCTTAGTATCATTTTCCTTATAGGTTTGGGTCACTGACCTATTTGAGAGCTGGATAAGCTCTAGATATTATCTCCAGAAAAAACACACATATCTTGAAGCCCCAGTTTTTTACATGCAGTTTTAGGGAGTTGGGGAATCAGGTCAAGAAACAGGTTTGCAAATTTGTGTGTGTGTGTGTGTGTGTGTGTGTGTGTGCGCCAGGAATCTTCTAATAGTCTGAAGAAGATATTCTCTTTCTCTGAATAATGATTTTAGGTGAATAAAATACATAGGCTTATGGGAGAAACCAATTATAATGAAATAATTTACAAAATTTCGAAACTTTCTGATATAGAAATACCTATGTACTTTTATCTAAATGGATTAGATAGCAAGATCTAATGGTAAGTCTAGTAACTACTGCGATTTTGAAGTACCGATGAGCAGAAAAGATGTTTTACAAAGATTGCCTCATTGTGAAATGAAATTACTGTGATTTCCACTGATGGCAGGTGCTGCCATTTCTGCTGGGGTCTGCTGTCTACATTCATCACTGAAGGCAGTGCTAAATTTCAGCTTCAGGTTCGTGAAAATCCAGGGGCATGTGTCACCATCCATAATTCTGAACTTTAGGTTAACAACCCCTGAGATGCAAAGATTCTCTGTGACTTGGGGCCTGGCAGCCGCACCGTTCTGCCTTTATCACAGAGGGAAACACGGGGCTCTGTTCCCAGACTTAGATCAGCTGAGGCTATCATTCTACAGGCAAGGCAAGTCGGGGGGACACTTACAGTAGCTTCTGTCCTGCCCCTGTGGAGAGAGGAAGATGGGGTGGGGTGGGAACTGGGGGGTCAGCTGCACACAGGTAACTCCTGCTTTCCTGAGCAGAGGTGAAGGCAGAGAGATTTCCTCTGTGAAGCTGCCTCAAGTCTGGAAAATGCCTCAAGTCTGTCGAGTCTTGTAGCTTAGGATATGGGAAACCTCTTCCTCTCACTTTGAACAGGATTTGAAGCCCCCAGGCATCAAGTTTGCCACTTGCCTTAACGAAGCCTTTCCAGACATGCTCTCGTAACTGGGGGAGCCCTGCTCGGCCGCTTGTGTCCCAGGCAGACACACGGGTTTATTTTTGCTTCTCTTCCTCCCACAGCTTTATGAGTGGTGCTGAAAAATGCATACCTGGGCTCCAAATGCTAAACCTGAGGTTTGGCAGGTGTAAAGGTGTGCACAACACTTGGAAATAAGAAATAGCATCGCTATCATCATACAGTAATGACAAGTTGAGCCACTGTCAGAACAGCAGGGAAAGGCGGGGCTTTCTCATTGGTGTGCTAGAACTCAGGCCTGCATGAGGGTGAGGAGTTCAAGTTCAGATACAAGGAAGTGCGTTCCTGATGGGTGGTGCGTTCCTGATGGGTGATGGAAACTCCCCAGGAAGAGCCCCTGAAAGCAGCGTCCTTGGCAGGGTCTCTCCTAGAACTAGATGTCGTGGCTACTCAGATGGTCTGACTGTCACCATCTGTCAAAGAGGCTCGCACAATATCATCTGCTTACCAATTTTACTTCTTGCTTCATTTATACTTTCTCCCAAGGCCTTTGCTTCAGAAAACCTAGAGGGGGAAAAAGAGAAAAAATTACTTTTTATGTTCATCCTACATTATGTTTGAAAAAGAATAGATTTCTGAGACATCTGTAGACTATTATAAAACTTTATTAAAAGACATAAAGGAAAATCTAAAGAAAGTGAAATATATTAGGCTTAAAAATAGAGATAAAGTTTGTATTATTATAGATACCATGAATTTTTAGTCTTTCTAGCCTAGAATTTTCATTCTCATATTCTTTAATTTATGGTTTTGATTTTCTTTTGTTTTATGCTGCAAGGGTACCAGAATAAAGCATGCAGTAAGGTTTCTGCGCTGTGATCTATCAATCATGGTACCAAGACCTTAGAGCCAAAAAAATACATACTTAAATAGTTTTTTTCCTGATTATAAAGTAATAAATCCTAGATCAGCAAACTATAACTGTTCATGAGACAAATATAGCCTGCTGCCTGGCTCTGTAAATAAGGTTTTCTTGGAGCACAGCCACACCTACTCATTTCTATACCGTCCACGGCTGCTTTTGTGCCACCACAGCTGAGCTGAGTAGCTAGGACAGGGACCTCATGGCCTACAAAACTGAAAATAGTCACTCACTGGCCCTTTTCAGATAAAAGTTTTCTCACTCCTGCCATGTATGATTATTGAACCAGAGTTTGAAAATATAATTGAAGAAAAAAATTCAAATAGTTCCCTACACAGAGATAAGCACATTTTCATAGACATACACATCTAGGTTTTTTTTTTCCCTAGCAAGTTTCTATAAAGTGAGCTCATACTATACATAGGATTTTGTGCCCTGATTTATTTTGTTTCACTTAGCATTTTAAGTCCTTCCCTACAGCATTAGAAACTCTGATTTTTGATGAATGCATACTAGTTCACGAGATGGTTGTGCTGGTGTTGAATCAACGAGGCCTCTATATTTTCTAGCATCAATTCATGAGCTACCTACAACAAACCCAGCAGTGCGCTCAGGAAGGACCTGGCCTCTAGGAGAAGCAGGTAGTTCAGTTCTCTACACAGAGTGGACCTGATGAAATGTTGGTTGCCTTCCCTTCCTCTCCTTTCTGCCATGAAGTTAAGGAGGTAACTGAAAACCTATGAAACAAAATCCACACCACGTGGTGAGAGTAAATCGCTGTGCTCTCTTGGGTAACCACAGTGATGCCATTAGAGTCGGACTAGGAAAGGGCCTTTCCCTGAGTGGGGCCAGGAAGTAGGAGAGCTTTGTGCATAAGGTGGGATTAACCGGGGTTTTGTGGCTGCATAGGAGTTTTCAGAAAACTTTTTATTCTGAAAATTTCCAAATATACCCCAATAGAAGAGTAGGACGAGCCCTCACATACCTCGTGCAATTTTATTTCGATCATCTCTATCTCCCCATCCTCTTCCCACCCTCCCAGATCTTTCTGGATCCCACTGAATCCCAGCTCTCCTCATCACTGTCTCATCCATAAACGTGGAGCTGTGTAGGACCATGTCAGAGGCGGTGGGAGAGGCATCCCAGCAGGGAACACAGGAGCAAAGGCCCCCTGCTCTGTGCAGAGCGGGGGGGGGGGGCAGTGCAAATTACATCATCTCCATCTTTCTGAATCTATCTGCTTCAGCTGGGCTGCAGGAAGGAAGTGTCCAGGGAAGGGGACTGCATTTTCTCTTAGTGTTGGGTTTCTAGGGACCCCTCCCGGCTGCCTTACTGAGGCTGTTCAGTTCAGGCTCAGTGGAGGTTATGGAGGTCTTCTCCATAACTGTCCCCTTCCAGAGGGAAGTGCAGTCGAGTCAGAGCTGGCTCGGTCCAACACACCGGCAGCAGGAAGTGCTGCTGCTTGCTGTTCTGGGCTCTGTGGGCTCCCATGGGTCTCTGCTACTGGGAAAGGGTAATTTGTCCACGTCACAGAGTTGAGGACTGGCTTCCTACTCTGAGTTCTGCTAAGGGAGGGACTGGGACTGATCACGGCTGGGTCCATCCCCAGTACCTAGGATTTGGTGGGATCTGATCATTGCACACAGTGCTGGAGGAGCCAGTGTGAGTCTATAAAAGGGAGGACACTCGGAGCAGAAAGGGCCATCTCCACTGTGCAGTGGCCCAGGGAAGCCCTGTGGGCCTGGGGTGGAGGGGCTTTGCCACTGGAGAGCTGGGGTCTAAGGGTGGACTGTCTTCTTGGACCATTCTCCCTTCACTTTGCCAGTTGTCACCACTCCAGGCCACCCCCACCCACATGATCCTGGTCAAGACAAACTCTGAGAGGCCCAATCAGAGGGAGAGGAGGGAGAGATGAGGAGGAAGGCGGGAGGCTGAGAAAGCAGTGGGAACCCAGCATCGGGGCCACACTCTGCCCAGCCTGCCCGCGCCTCCCCACCTCCCCAGCCAGCCCAAGTCTCCAGTCATTCCCTGCTCCCTGCCACTGCTCCCGGGTGAAGTCCTGCCCACCTGGCCATTGCGGGGGGGTGGGTTCCTGACTCCTGACCTTTTAAAAGAGGCCCCAAGGATGAGCTGGTTCAGGGGGCAGAGAAGTGAGTGGCCGACTCTCCCGGGACACGGGACCCTAAGCGGAGCTCCCTGAGGAGGTGTGGCCTGTATGGGAAGGGCTTCTTTTTTTTTTTTTTAATTTTTTATTGTTGGTTGTTCAAAACATTACATAGTTCTTGATATATCATATTTCACACTTTGATTCAAGTGGGTTATGAACTCCCATTTTTACCCCGTATACAGATTGCAGAATCATATCAGTTACACATCCATTGATTTACATATTGCCATACTAGTGTCTGTTGTGTTCCGCTGCCCTTCCTATCCTCTACTATCCCCCCTCCCCTCCCCTCCCCTCCCCTCCCCTCTTCTCTCTCTACCCCCTCTACTGTCATTCATTTCTCCCCCTTGTATTATTTTTCCCTTTCCCCTCAAGAGGTGAAAGACTTATACAATGAAAACTACAGAACCCTAAAGAGAGAAATAGAAGAAGATCTTAGAAGATGGAAAAATATACCCTGTATACCTGTATAGGCAGAACTAACATCATCAAAATGGCGATATTACCAAAAGTTCTCTATAGGTTTAATGCAATGCCAATCAAAATCCCAACGACATTTCTTGTAGAAATAGAGAAAGCAATCATGAAATTCATATGGAAAAATAAAAGACCCAGAATAGAAAAAAACAACTCTAAGCAGGAAGTGTGAATCAGGCGGTATAGCGATACCAGACTTCAAACTATACTACAGAGCAATAGTAACAAAAACAGCATGGTACTGGTACCAAAACAGGCGGGTGGACCAATGGTACAGAATAGAGGACACAGAAACCAATCCACAAAACTACAACTATCTTATATTTGATAAAGGGGCTAAAAGCATGCAATGGAGGAAGGATAGCATCTTCAACAAATGGTGCCGGGAAAACTGGAAATCCATATGCAACAAAATGAAACTGAATCCCTTTCTCTCGCCATGCACAAAAGTTAATTCAAAATGGATCAAGGAGCTTGATATCAAATCAGAGACACGCCGTCTGATAGAAGAAAAAGTTGGCTACGATCTACATACTGTGGGGTCGGGCTCCAAATTCCTCAATAGGACACCCATAGCACAAAAGTTAATAACTAGAATCAACAAATGGGACTTACTCAAACAAAAAAGTTTTTTTCTCAGCAAAAGAAACAATAAGAGAGGTAAATAGGGAGCCTACATCCTGGGAACAAATCTTTACTCCTCACACTTCAGATAGAGCCCTAATATCCAGAGTATACAAAGAACTCAAAAAATTAGACAATAAGATAACAAACAACCCAATCAACAAATGGGCCAAGGACCTGGAAATGGGAAGGGCTTCTTGAGAAGGGTGGGAGAAGGCTCCATGCCTCAGCCAGGACACTGAGGAGCCTCACCTCAGGCTCCCTTACGACCAGTGCCAAAGCAGTCCTTTCAGGGTGCTGCTAGCTGCACGGTGACTCTGCGGCGGGGACAGCGTAACTGAGTGTGGTACAGTACAGAGCCGGCAGGACACTGCATTCACTGGCACAGAAAGGGGCTGGGCATGGGCAGGTCTGGGAAGGGAGATCTGGTAACGCAGTGCCCTGGCCGTTCTTCACAAGGCTGGCTTCCTGTGACATCCCCTCAGTGCTCCTGTCCTGTGCCTGGAGACATCCTGTGACACTGGGGAAGCACTGTCACTGGCTTCCCTGGTGTTGGTCCTCCTGTCCTCTCCTTCTCTCTCTAGCTCTTTTGTAGTCTTTCTTTTTTGGCAGACTTTTCCGCCTGTTCTTGAACATGGTAATCCTCAGGATTTTGTCGAAGCCCCCTTCTTGCTTTTCTGGCTCTCCGCAGGCACCCCATCCATGCCAGTGTCTTTGCTCTCCGTTGTTACCTCCCGATTTTCCATCTCAGCCCTACCTTAGTTCCTGAGCCATGCAGACCCTGTCTGTTGGGTGCCCTGCAGACGACTAAATTCACTGCATCCCAGAAGAACTGGTCTCCTCCTCTGCCCACTTCCCTGTTCCTCCTCAAACACAGCTCATGCTGGTGACCTGCATGCTTTCCTTTGCCCTGTCTCCCATGAGCCCCTTGGCTGAGTCTTGGAATCTGAGACATTCTGCATCCTCAACACCTTCCCAGAGCACTCCACTTTGCTTCTTCTTGCTTCATTTGCCTTAAAGCAGAGAGTGGTCTCTGGCTCCCAGATTTCTTCGACCACAGCTCAGTCCTCCCCCTGGATTCACCTCCCCTGCCTGCACAGTAGTCTCCATACCTGAGCTTGTGATCCTCAAGTGCAAATGCCTGGTCCTGTTCCTTCCTGCTTCAGACTCCTCGAGACATTCCCCAGGGACCTCAGGACATAGTCCACATTCCTTAACGGGGTGAAGTAGACTCTTCATCTTTGTGCTCTGGCTCCTGCTGCCTTCCCCAGCTCTTCTCTCACCACCCTGTCCCCCTCCACCTTCCAAGTGGTCTGGAATCACTTTCAGTTCCACCAAGTGTCACCCTCTCTCTCACCTTGGGGTGTTTCCCTT